ATATATGGCAAGTACTTTGCCGGCAAGAAAATGCAAGGCAGGATAGATCCTGAGTTCCTATCTAGGATCAACGGAACTATGATCTGCTTGACTTGCTCTATACTATGCCACACTCTCCGGGCGTGGCAAACGGGTAAGTACGAAGAGCTGAAGGACTTCAAGCCTGATATTGTTATGGGTAAGCAACTCAGAATATTCTAGTGCGCCGTAGTGAAGGAGTCTAGCGAACCCATGACCCACTTAAGACCTGTTGGCACGCCAGAGGCAAACATGGCAGAGATTTCCCGGCAGATCCAGGAGCTGTGGGTCCAAAACATCCGCCAAATCATCACCGAAAAAGCTCCAGCAACAATACGGGATTCAGAATGATGGAGTAGAAGGGTATGATGATGACGTTAACGGTGTAAGCGCGGAGCTCGAGCGCAGGAAATCCCACCAAACACCAAGCCAATCCTCGCGGGGCAGACAGACAATGACTGACTATCCTCTGGAGCCCTATTTGGGGCGCCCGGGCAGGTGGGAACAGTCGCCCCATCATGATGTTGGTTCCGATTTTAGCCAGACGGCCATTGGACGCTCACTTGGCTTTCATGATTTTGAACGGGATAGTCGAGACGATACACCGGAAGACACGGGACATGCGACGTAGGGGAGCGTGGGCAGTCCATGTATTTCATCGCGCGTCTCGCTTAGTCTGGATGATTCACAGTCGGGGCAGGTGACCGCTATAGAAGGACAGCAGGAAGGGAATTTTGATTGAGAGAGAGGAGGCAACAGGTCGGTGAGACCGGGATCGAGATTCGGCTCGACGGGGCGCATATGGGTACCGGCGGTGCCGGTGGGATCGCAAGCTCCAATAGCGCCTAGTGTACTCAATAGATTAAAATGGCGGGCCAATGTGACGCTGTACGATAGTAAATTGAGTATTTGCAGCACATATTGAGACCAAATTGTAATCAGATGTGGTTACCGAAAGTCCCAGAACATAGGCAGTACATTCCAATTGCGGCGAGAAAATCCCGACGACCTCAATTGAAAGTGTGAAATCAGGATGGAAGAGGTGGGTAATATAGGACTCGGGGCACACGGGAGTAGTTCTTGGAAGTCATGAGACACAGGAGCAGGGACAGGAACTTAGTAGGAGGAGAGCGGACGAGACATGCGGTGGGATGCGACCGCTATAGATTAAGTCATCCAAACAGAATTGGCTTTACACGGACAGGATTGGAACGCGGGGGGAGGGCGGATGGGCGTCACGGCGAGAGGCGGAAGCAGCAGATATTCTCCGGATGCAAAGCAGGCATGGCCGGATGGCCGGGACGCCGGGCAGGAGGTCCAGGGGTGTCCGGATGGCGGCCGGGAGTAGTAAGGGCGTCCGGACTCCAGGAAGGAGTAGTAGGGGTATCGGGACGCCAGGAAGGAGTAGCAGGGGCGTCGGGACGCTAGGGGGGAAAGGGCATGGATTGTCAGGACGCCCGGAACCCAGCTACCAAGGGCTCACAATGCAGGGGGGTTGGAGTGCCGGGCGTCCGGTGAGCGTCAGGATGCAGGAGGGTGTGGATGCGAATGTCAGGACGCAACAACGGATTCAGCCGACCTCCTGATTAATGGTTTGTGTCCTGTGCGTCTGACGCACAAGACGCAATAGTAAATTTTTGCTGATGCAGGGAGGAGAATTTTGGCACTCATGTGTGGTGACATAGCCAAGATGGTTCAAGTGACCAAGCTATTTTCTCTTAGCTGATGAGACCAGCATCATTATTACAGTATTTTATGTAGGAACCGGCACCGATACACAGCTATTCTCAGGTGTTATGGTCATTTTCCGCCATTTTCCCAGGGTAAGAAAGCTCCTACCAATCCCTTGGGCCAATACCTGCATAGCGAGTTTGGCGAGCTTTTGAGGTAGAGGAGTGGAAGCCGACATTGTTACAACACGAACACGGCGCACCCCATGGACTAATGAGACAGGCACATTCTCGCCCTTCCTCATCCAGGTGTGGCCTAGTGACTTTGCCCCACAAAAATCATAAAATATCAAGTAGTTTGTTTGTGGAAGAGTGACTTAGCCACAGTGCGGGCCTACGCGGTCCCATAGCTGTGGTGAGGATCTTTATGCTCCCTTTTCAAAACCGGGAACGAGCTATACCCAGGGGATAATAGGGCCAGATTTCCTTCCCGTCAAGGACATGAAACCAAATCTATTGATCAACCGGCAACATGGCGGAGAGGAAGTGCGCCGGGCTCATAATGCGAAAGACACACGATCGAGACTTGCTGTTGCCAAGATATATTTCTTGTTTTTTGGTGACAGAATGGGTGGTGGTCCAAATTGGAGGGTATCATACGAGTTTTCTTTTTTTTTATCTTTGTTTCTGGGCTCCCTTTCCGCCATGGCAGAAAAGAAAAAAAGAATTCCCAAAGAAAGTACGAATCATTGAATGAGGTCCCCCATGTAACCAACTATAGAAAACATTTAAGCGAGAAACAACAGTTATCGTGAATTGGGATGAGCAGTTCCTTGCCATCCGAGATCAGCGGAAAATCTATTACACATGTAACCCAAATCAACATGTTTCCACCTTCCACCACAGCCCTACCATTCTTTCTCCTTTTCCCAAACTGTTCCTCCATGTGCACCTGTATCTAACCCACGCACGCACAAATGCAGACATAGAAAGAAAGCACAAATGATAAGAGAGCGCACAGACCAGCGCTTAATTTGACCAACCCATCTCTTACTGTCGGAAGATTGTATTTTCGCTGAAAACCCCTAACCCCGTGAGCGAAACCAGTAACTGCTCATGATAAATTCGAAATCCACCCTGCTTGACCACTCTATCTTTCCAAATCCCCTTTTCCAACTGGCAAACGTTCCTACCCGAACATAGCGAGAGCTCTCCAGAGGTAGGCAGGGCGGTTTCTCCAGCGGTGGTAAATTTGGCGCAGGAGTAGGAGGAGGCCCGGGCGGTCCGTTCGGTCACGACCCGGATAATCCACCGGACTATATAGTGCAACCGATCTAAAATGTGGACCAGTGATGAAACACATGCCGAAGTGACCGGAGTTGCCGATGCTGAGACCGAACCACCAGAGTGAGTATTATCAGCCATTGTGGTATACCAGTTCAATCCTGTAGTATAGTAGATCCTTGTTTAGCCCATTTCCTGTTAGGAAAATGTCATGTTATTCCAGAGGACAATCATTGCTGGGCAACCTGTCTGAGGAGCCCCACCTTCTTAGCGTTTATCTCAGTCTTCTCCACTGAACCTTTCAGTACATGTTTCATCTCATACAAACTCTTTCTTCAATTTCTCTTTTTTTATATCTTTTATTTCAAAAAAAAAAGCGTGAGAGAACTAACATCCTCATTTGAGATACTCTCACGCTTTTTTTACTCTAATATTTGTTGTTTTGGAGGAGTTATTTCATTGCCGGTTTGTATGTAGTTGGTTGGACCAGGTTTCAAGAAAGTTGAACCATAGCACTACCAAGCTCTTTCCTGTATCCCCCACCTCTATACCTACCTCTACAGCACATGCTATGGCCAACTGACTGAACCAAAAGAGCCACAACCACCACCGGTCCGAACCACTTGAGAAAGGCGGGATGCTACATGGTAGTGCGCTACCGCCTGTATTGAGGCTGAATCTATAATGGTTAAAGTACTTCCGCAAAAGTGTTAGTGAAATGACCTTTTTACACCAAAAGTTGGCAGGTTTGATCAACCCTCACACCTGGAATTGCTTCAAATAATCCTTGCAACCCATATAATTATTTTCACCTTCACTGCAGCTTTTACCCGACACCATTTATTTTGTCAATTTATTCTATGGGGCTAAACTACAAGTCTCCAAAGTTGACAATACCCATTGCTATGCCATTTTTGTATCTAAAATGAAGCTTTTCAGTGAAGTCAAAACTTTAGGACTGCATAACTTCTCCAATTCTTCCCCAAAGTTATTAAGAGTGGAGTAGGGGTGGGGTGGGATTATTGTAACTACATACCAGAAGTCAGGTTGTAAATTATTTTGTGGTTCCTAAACAACCAGTGGCGAAAAATCAATGTTTTTGGTGTAAAAAGCCCATTTCACCAACACTTTTGCGGAGGTACTTTAGCTATGCACGGTAATGGACGAGGGGCGTGGTGCGGATGACCCGTTCAAAGACGTGAGCAAGTGCTCAGCAAAATATAAGCGGCAGAACCGCAGGGTGCCCAAGTTGGATTCTTGGCCGTACGTTGAGTTCTTCCCCGAGGACCTGTGGGATATATTAGGCATCGATGGTGATGGCGAGGTGGAGGATGGGAGAGGTAAAGAGAAGGGGAAGGCGAAATAGCTGATTTTTCGGCGCTCGATGTTTTTGCTTCGCTAGATTAGGAGTATGAGGAGGATGGGGGGGCGCGGCTGGAGAGGCTGGTGTGAAGCAGAAGAAGGGGGTCCCGCAAAGGTTGCAGGACGAGGATGTTGGTGACAAGGGTGCTGCGACGATGACGATGAGGTAGCGGAGGAAGTGGAGGAGGCCGAGGATGATCTTGGCGATAATGAGGAGGGGGACTATAATGCTGAGATGTACTTAAATGATGGGGATGAGGACGGTGGGGACGATTGGGGGGACGAAGAGGGTGGTGAGGACTATCACAAGACAGATGAACCGTGCAACTACGAGAAGTGTCTTTGATTTCTGTTCTGTTGATATCTATTTCAACCACTCATTCAGAACCTTTTTTCCTTTTTCTTTCTTTTCGGAATTTCTTGTCTTTTTTTGCTCTTATTTTTTTGATCTCGGGGCAAATGGCACCTCGTGATGCTCTGAGCCACTCTGACTAAGGAAGACAGAAGAAAAGAAAAACCACGTTTGGCCTATATTTGGGCCGAGTGCTCTAGCAGGCTCCCACGCCTCACACGGATCGGATTCCCAAACTCACGGTATCACCTCATCAAGTGTGTATTCGCAGCAAGCTCCCCCTCATCACTGACCTCCTTCAGTAGGTGTTCTGCGGTATCCTTGTTCATCTCTCTGTTAGCACTTTGATCTGCATTAGATTTCCAATCCATCCTGATGTCATCTTCCCTCCTAACCCATGGTTTCTCCGCGGGTGCCTCCTGGTGTAAATCCTCCCTCATTGACTTCCCACCACCGCGCTACCTCATAATGTTCAAGGGTCTTTTGAACTCTGCTCGAACCCTGTCTATTCCGGTGGCATTGCAGATCCTGCCCACGCTGTATCTGATTTCGAATGGGTCCTCGATCGCAAACAAGTATCTATCTGTTACCTGAGTATGCCTGCTCCTCCCCGGCCTACCAACAGCCGTAACCCAACCCTTACCTTACTTACTCAATATGCCGCATTGGGTCCGGATGAAGATGACCTCTCTTCCCATTGGAACCTATGTGAATAGTATTCGAAGAAGCCATGGAGGAGGTGGCCGACATTCATTTGGTTCGGGGTCTTGGGAAGATTTTGGATATCTTTAGCACACCAAAGATGATGCCCCCTTCGCCACCCTCATGAAATATCTGGTCAGGCGGTGCGCCTTCAGGGATCGTGGTGTCCCGCCGCTTGATCAAAACAGGGTGGTCAACCACTGTGATCAGAAAATGGATGATCATGAGCTCGTAGCGGTAAGAAGGAACGGTACCACGGTATGGGCTATTGATATGTCTTCTCTTGGTCCACCACTGGCATGTGATGGTGTCAAGTTTACAAGATTCTGAACTGCCAAGGGGATTGCGAGGTTAGAATTATGGTGAAAGCGTAAACGCCTTTATAAAAAGAACCATTTGCTTGACTCTTGGATCGCATCGACTATGTGTTTGCAGCGTCCTAGTATTATGCACTCCCAGGTCCTGATTAAACCCGATGTCGTAACTCAAGTCAAATGAGTTCTCATCTGTACCTTTGTGTGCTTGCTTCATTATAGGTACAGGGGTCTTTAAGAGTAGCGTAATCTCGAACCCCACAGACTGAAATTCTTCCGCCAGATTATGTGGAAGAGAATTGGATTCGTCACTCTTGTCAGGGGTGCAGGAAAAGTCCTCCCGATAGGGAGACACGAGGACGGCATCGAGATCAGACTTCGTAATTGCGAATCCTGCTATGGTACCCACAAAATGGAGGAGAGCAAGGCAATCAAATTAGAGATGTATCAGGTGATATTAACCAAACTGGCTACAAGGTACACAGTCAAGAAAAAGTTGAGAAAAATGAAAGGCATGGCACTTACTAGCTCGACTTCCGACGGGAATCAACTCCCCTTGCGGGAAGATCCTTTTCCAGATTGGTACACATTTTTTCAAATGCTGGTTTTAGGCGGCTAATTCCTGCGGAGTTGGTGTGGTGGCCCCAATAATCTCCTTTTCAAATGCCTGGAGATTCGTATTCTGATCATATATCATCTGCTCTAAGTTGACTGGAGGCATGCGGCCTTTCCCCGGATGTGGAGACACTTGAGGGTTTCGAAACGCCGGTCTCCACTGAGGGAGTGCACGGCTCCGCAATGGAAGTACTTGGTGCTGTGTCCTTCGTGCACTTTGTCCCTATGTCTTTGTCTGTGGCGATTTAGGTTGAGGAGGTTTGGGTAAGGCAGTTTTGAGGCGCTCAGTTCCAAGGGGGGAACTGATCGAGACTCTCAGGGGGCAGAGGAGGAGGAGGAGAAGGAGGGGGATGGAGGCCCCAATGCTGATCGGGGCCATTGCGGAGAGGGCGATGTCCGAGTTGAGGCTTCTGGCACCCGTCCACGGATATGCCCGACATTTAACCTGCCCCCCCAGGGCCGATTGCTGTTGGTGGGGGGCTCTGGAAGTATGAAGTTTGAAGTCTGAGTTCTGGAATCCGGGTTGTCCCGAAGTTCATAGAGGAGGAGCTGGAGGTTTAATGGTGTGACATCACGTTGCCAGGAGCCTCCTTCTGTCAGCAACTTCTAAACCCCCCAGGTTTCAACCCACCAGATTGCCAACTATGTATTTGCTCCACAAGCGACAAACATATCTCTCACAACTCCACCATTCAAATCCTGCTGTTTCCCAAACACTATATCAATACCAGTTGTGATCTTACCACCGCGAATATCGATTTCAGCCTCGGACATTGTTTTCAGTAGCTGATGGCATCAGGTGTATCATACTAGTATCCTAGTAGGTGAACGAGACTGACCCCAGGTGAGCGGAGCAAGCTAGCGGGCATGGCTTGAGCGTGTGGAAGAGTTGTTTTCAGGGCGGTATCCTTACACCCTCTCTGAGATATGTGGCACCCATGAGCCCGACTAGCAGCATGGGATGTGAGCAAGGGTGAGGAAGGGCGGTGAGATGGACAAGCCTGCCACGCCTAATCTTCCCTAAGGACCGAAGAATATGGTATATTGTTCGGGGGCCGGGCCACCAATATTCGATTGCGGAGGTTAACTTGAGCACCCATACAGGTTAGAGGATTGCGCTGTAGTTCGCCAGAATATATCCCACTGAATAACTTCCTTTGCCCCTCTTTGCTCTCGCGGGCTTCGACCATATGAAGGTTCTATCATTAGCTAATTGCTGATTGAAGGCTGTCAGAATTGGGTTGTTGCTAGTGGTACCGCGGCATCAACCGTGCTTCCGCTAACTCCATTTCGTGGCGCCGTAAATCGCTTTGGGAACCCGGTGGGGGGGGGGGTACGGTAATTTTGTTTGCGCGCCTAGCCACCACTCACATTGCAAACCTTGGATGTAATGGAAGTCAATATGGGAAAAGTGATATATCAGAAGCGGATTAGGTTCCTAGGTAGTTTCGTTTCGTTGTTATACTAAATGACTGACCTATTCCTCAATTTCTATGGTATATTCTATTTATTAAACTCGGTCATACACCTCTCCCTTATACCGGCGCCTGAGCACTCATATTGGATGTTGTAAATTACCGCCACTCCAATTAATCACCAGACCAACATCACACCTCGGTGAAGTCAAGAGAATTACCGGAACCTTGTCCGGAGGTACTAGAATCTTTACTATTTCATTTGTCATGTTTATACCTAGATGTATAAGAGAGGTAGAATGTTCTCGGGCATGTTGGGGATAAATGTAGGGAAGGGACGATTGGAAGTAAAGTCAAGCCAT